ACAAAATAATAATTTATAAATTATCAAGGGTTCATGAGGGAGTGGGGAACGGGGAGGGAGGGGGCAAAATAGCTGATGCCAGGGGCTTAAGTGGACAGCACATGTTTTAAGAATGATGAGGGTAATGAATGTACAAATGTGCTTTACCCAATTGATGTAGGTATGGATTGTGAGAAGAGTTGTATGAGCCCCTAATAAAATGATTTTTTTTTAATGTGTAAAACTCACATGGAAAAAAATGTTGATGGTGGGGCAGAATAGAAGACTTGAATAAACAGATTTTTAGAGTCAGGAAAGCCGATTTTCTTTTACACATGAATTTCATCAATGTGCAGTCGTTGTCAGAAGCATTCTGAAGGGAAAGCAGTGAGGGAGGTGAGGGTGTTAAAACGTGCTGCCTAGTGCTGGTGTTGCAGCCTGACTCTGAGGGCAGCTGAATGGAGCAGAAGAGAGTCTAGAAATGAACTCACATGTGTAATCTAGTCTGATAAAGATAGGGTGATTTGAGTGGAGAAGATTAATAAATTATATTGAGCTAGGGAAAAAAATATTCCTACCACAGACCTTATATCACAAATTTAGATAAATAAAAATGTAAGCACAACGGTAAAGCACAGGGAATTTTATAAATAAAAAGTGGGAAGTAAAAATAGAGATAAAATAAACCATAAGCCCATAAAAGTACCAATAAACTAGACCAAATCGAAATTAAATTTCTGTGTTGTAAAGCCAACAAACCAACCCCATAAAGTCAAAAGATAGATGACAAACGGACAAAGTATTTGTAATCTCCTAGGTTAAGAACAAATACTTTTAATATAGAAAGATCTACCATTGATAAAAGACCAATCTCCCAGAAAAAGCACAACAGGTGTGAACATTTTCCAGAAAAGGGTTTATACCTTACATATACATATATGAAGAGCTCCACCTCATTTCTTTAAAAAAAATTAAAATTAAATTTCAGTCATATTAACCAAAATAAAGAAAATTACAATCAACATTATTGGTTGGTGTATAAACTTACATAGCTTCTGTAGAGAACAAGCAGCCACTCTCAAAGTTTTAAATAGACTTCTCCTTTGGCCCTGTAGTTCCACCTATGGGAATTCATGATATAGCTAGCAGTATTTATGTAACTGAAATGACTTATAAGCAGTCACATACTATTACTATTTCTAAGAACAGTACACTATTATATCACTAAGATAAATGTGCTCAGCCTCAAAAGTAAAATGGCTATGAAATGTCATTTTTATTCATCAGATTAACAAAAATATAAAAGATTTATTATTTTCAATATTTTCAAGGTAGGGAGAAGTTAGCGCTCATACACTGTGTTGTCTTAACTACCATTCTCTACTTTTAGGTACATATAAGTTCTAAAACCCATTGCACTGGCTACGTGGAACTCCCAGTGCAAGTGAGAAATGCTCTGAGGATAGACTTGCCCACCTGGACAGAATACAGCGTTCTTTCGGGGTTGCTAGTAGATGCCCATGACTGGAGAAGCTCAGTGTCAGCAGCTAACACTAGGGGCTGACTTGGAGCAGACCATCAATTGCTCATTTGTCACTTCAGGTTGAAGGTGAAGAAAATAAAAACAGTGCTTGAACCTGGCGTCTTTCCCACTGAGTGTGGAGAACATCTCACGAACAGACGTGAGGCGTTAAACACTAATGATGAGTTACGGGACGACATCAAGAACATCCTACATGAAGAAAGCAAAAGGCCATTGAAAAGACAGGAGAGAAAAATCAAAAGTAGATATTAGAAGAGACTCTGAAACTTGCCCTCTTTTTAGATTGGCAAAGAAGTTTTTATTTTCCCCATTATCAAAACGGTGTGTTACTCCCTTGTGAATGTGCAATGCCCTATTGTTAAGGCACAGCTTTGTTTTGGGGTGCATATGAAACCAAGGTGATTAGGTTTATCTTTTTTTTTTTTTCTTTTTTTTTAACATTTTATTAGGGGCTCATACAACTGTTACCGCAATCCATACACACATCAATTGTGTAAAGCGCATTTGTACATCATTCTCAAAACATTTTTTTTTCATTTGTATTTTTTTTTCTTTTTTA